TGCTTAGCAGTGGCATCTGTCCGTGGCTGGACGAGTGCGCCGTCTGCGTAGGCTTTACGACAAGTGGCCGCTTCGTCTTGATGTCGGATTTAAACGCGCCCTTCACAGGTAACCTCAGCTTCAGCTCGTACTTGACAGCAGCGTCGATGTCGCAAAACTCTCCAGCATGACGACAGTCGACGTGAAAACTCCCTGACAGCGTGGAACGGAGCTGGTAGTTGAAAGGAAAGACGTACTCTCCTGGTGCAAACGACTCATGGTTGTCACTCAGCTCCAATTGGTCAGACAGGATCGTGTTCGACTGCTTCCGGGGCACGACTGTTTCGCCGTAAGACTCGTTATACTTGACGTACTCTTCGCCATTGACCTCCAGTACCAAAGCTGTAGGCGTAACAACAACTGGCTTTAAAACTGAGTTACTGCACGTATAGGACGGACACTCGGGGGCTCACCTCCTTTGGTCTTGATCTCATCGGAGACCGACAAGTAGACGGTGCCGTTCACTATATTGATATGCCCTTGGCTCACAGAGGGGCTTTTAAAACAGGGTTAATTCAAGACTGGTATTTCTGTTAGTTTGTGTCGTGTCTTGTCTCCGACTGGGACAAGAGCCTAGAAAGAAAGAATAGAAAATAAAGTGCAACTTCAACTCAAGCTGCAATGGCGGTCAGCATCCTCAGGCCGACGCCCTTGTCACTCGCCCCCATGCTGACTGCTCATTAGCACGGAAACACTCGACGAATGTTCACTCGCTGCTGCGTTGGTCCTTGGTCCAGGGTAATAGTGCCATTGTCGTGCACCGCAACGATGGTGAATGGCCCGTTAGCCACATTCCGGTGTTTGTTCTTTCTGTCTTTGGCTGGAATGCGAACCATCACGTGGTCGCCTACTTGGTAGAAGTGCTGTAGTCTGGTAGAGTTTGCACGGTCATTCTCTTGTAGAATAGCATCAAAGCGTTCTTGCACAAGTAGTTCCAATTTGCTTCATAAAGCTTGCGAGTAATCAGATCTTGCCCAAATATCATGTTTGCAGGAGTAGTTCCCAGAATAGTGTGGTAGCTTGCACGTGCTGAAAATGCAGCATACTGAAGTACTTTGCGCCAATCCGCCTCTGGGTTGCATCTGATGCAATTATTCAGCACCAAATGTACACGTTCACAGATAGCGTTCGCTTGTGGATTCTTGGCCGAGATCGCTTTCGGCTTGATACCGTAGCTTGCTAACATCTCTCTGAACTCGCTGGTATTGAACTCATTTCCCCTGTCAAAAATTACCGTTTTCGGACGTGGATATCGACACAGCCATGTCGTATCAAAGTTTTCCGCTGTTGTCCTTCCTTTACTGTCTGTTTGGATGGAAACCTCCAGCCAACGAGTTGCTTCATCGATTACAGTAAGGGCATACTGACGTTCAGCTCCATAGGGACCCATCGTGTCGACATGCACTACGTCGAACGGATCAACCATGTTCAGGTCTCTTGGAGGGAGTTTGCCATATGCTTGTGGTCCTCCATGCAGTTTGTGTCTTTCGCACGTGATGCACTTCTTGCAGTACGTTACGATTGTCTTCTCCATGCCCGACCAGTAGAAATTAGCCCGCATGGTATGGAATTGTCGTTTTGATCCGGGGTGCAGCAAGTTCAGATGATACCAATCAACAAGTTCTTCGCGCATTGCATTTGGGATTACCACACGTTTCTGGTACGTAAGGAGTCTCGCCCCCATGGTGTTCTCAACCCGGTAGTCTGGGTCACTCGTGCCATTCACACACTTTCGCAACAGCACTTGTACCATCTTGTCTGTACTATGGAACTGTTTGATATAATCTCCTTCCAACACACATTCGCCTTGTTCGCTGAACAGTGCTTCTGCTAAGCTGTGACCGTTTTCGTTGGACACGGATGTGCACTCCATGCGTGAAAACGCATCTGCAGCAATGTTCGATTTTCCTTGTATATATTCACATGTCAACCGATACTCTGACAGTAAGAGTTTCCACCTTTTTACTCTTAGCGAATTCTCCGTAGGATAGATCAAGTTCTTGTGATCTGTGTGCACCACCACCGGGAATCCTAAGAGTATTGTTCGGTACTCTTTTAAGATCTCCACAACTGACAGTAGCTCGAGCTCCATCGTGGTGTAATTCCTCTGTGCCTCCGTAAGTGTTCTCGAAAAGCACGCAATCAACTTACCATCCTGCTGAATCAAACCACCTAATTGCTTACCACTCGCATCCGCGTAGATGTCAAAAGGTTTTGAAAAGTCAGGAAATGATAGAAGTACTACTTCGGCTAGCGCTTTCTTGATTCCTTCGAATGCTTCATTCTCTGTCGAAGTCCACACAAATGTTGCTTTTGGCGACGTCATTCTCGTCAGTGGCTTCAACAATGCGGACTTGTGTGGAATCATCTCCCTGTAGTAATTAATCAGTCCTAAGAATCTTCTCAGCTCACGCTTTGTTCTCGGCGCTGTCAAGCGCGTTATCGCACTGATCTTCTTCTCTTGAGGCTGGATTCCATCCGCACTCAATGTAAAACCCAGGTAGTCCACCGACTTACAAAAGATATGACACTTTTTGCCATTAAGAGTCACATTGTACTCTTTCAGACTTTTTAGTACCACCCGTAAATGCTCCACATGGTCCTTGGCTGTCTTCGAAAAGATCAGTATGTCATCTAGATACACGATGACAAAATCCAAGTCACCCAGGATCTTCATCATGCTGGCCTGGTACTCGTCCGGAGCCGTAGATATTCCCATCCGCAGTCTCTTGTATTGGAGCTTTCCCCATGGTGTACAAAAGGCGGTGTACTTTCGGCTTATTTTCGCTCATTGTCTAGCGTAATAGCCCATATTGGCGTCCAGTGACGAAAAGTACTTTGCTTCACCTAGTTTTGCTAAAACTTCTCGAATCAGCGGTACATAGTATGGATGTCTCTTCAAAAACCGATTAAGCGCTCGAAAGTCAGTCAGCAACCGTAGTCTTCCGTCCGGCTTCTTTAAGAAGAAGGCAGGCGACGCCATCTCCGAGTCGAAGATTTGCTCAAGCACGTCGACTGTAATCAATCTGTGTATCTCCTTGCGAGCTGCATCTTCCTCACTCCTCGGTACTGAGTATGGCCTCGCATGAACCGGTGTGAACGGCTCAACAATTGGTAAGACCTAATCCGGCAGCTTCATCTTGCCCAGATGCCCATTGTACA